AGTCCACATTAATTTCGGGATGGCTTAGATTGTATTTCGGGACGGTTCCGGGAGGATGGTGAAAAAAGTTAGTCGAGTGCACTTCTCCCAGACCACGTTGATCAGATTATATTCCTGAACAAAAATCTGAAGAGAATGTAGATGCAGTTATGTAGAGAGGAGCCTTTCTGTTTAGTGTTTTTGGCTTAAATGTTACTCCTTTGGACTTGAATTATTGTTCTTAGTGACTTGAATTATTGGCTACCTCATATTCTGTGTTAAGCTAAAAATGCTGTAAAAGAATCTGTTCAGAACAGGCCACCTGCTGCACCTTTTAATTCTCCATTGTCCATTGTGATACTGCACTTTATGTACTTACGTTTCAAAGGCTTGTAAGCTACAGTTGGCACTGTTTCAATAAATGAAATTTTTTTTCTCACCACATCTTTTGAGTCATTTTGTCCAGCATTTGCAAGCTGTAGACTCTCTGTCTAGTCAGAGCCATATATTGTATAATTGATGCTTTCAGTTTTCAGTTGAATTAATTCAATCCAAGTCAATGGAACACTCACAAGATGTCACCAAAATCACACTGTCCCTTTAAAATCTTTCAGAAAATGATGTAAGTGTATCAAATGATATCGAATCGTATCGTTGGCTGAATATCGTGATATATATCGTATCGTGAGCTCAATATCGTGTATCGTATCGTATCGTGAGATTAGTGTATCGCTACAGCCCTAGTGGACAGGTGTCTTTTATACTGATAACGAGTTCAAACAGGTGCCATTAATACAGTTAACGAGTGGAGGACAGAGGAGGCTCTTAAAGAAGAAGTTACAGGTCTGTGAGAGCCAGAAATTGTGTTTGTTTGTAGGTGACCAAATACTTATTTTCCACCATAATTTGCAAATGAAGTCTTTAAAAATCAGACAATGTGATTTTCTAGATTTTTTTTCTCATTTTGTCTTTCATAGTTGAAGTGTACCTAGGATGAAAATTACAGGCCTCTCATCTTTTTAAGTGGGAGAACTTGCACAATTGGTGGCTGACTAAATACTTTTTTGCCCCACTGTATATGTATATATATATATAAAATTATAAATGCCACTATTAATAATAATAATAATAATAATAATGCATTTCACCAGCATAAGAAACATAAACAAGACAATGCAGTATATAAAAAATTAAATAAATTAAACAGAGGATGTGTGATGGATAATGATCAGGGTGGGTATGCGAGTTTGAAGAGATGTTTTGAGACGTGATTTGAAAATGGGGAAAGTCAGTGTTGCGGATGTCAGGTGGGAGGGAGTTCCAGAGGCGGGGTGCAGAGCGGCTGAAGGCTCTAGACCCCATTGTGGTTAAACGGAAGGGGGGTGCAGTGAAGTGGAGGGGGGACCTGAGAGTGTGGATGGGCGTGTTGATGTGCAGGAGGTCAGAGAGGTACAGAGGAGGGAGGTTATGGATGGCCTTAAAGGTGAGAAGCAGAATCTTAAAATCTATACGGGATTTGACGGGGTCTAAAAATCAAATCAAATCAAAGTCAACCCAATCTAAATGGGATAAATGGTGATGTCAACAAAAATAATTGTATTGTTAGGGTATACATTTCAACTTGACAAATGGCTTTCAATTTAGCAATTAATCCACATAAACATCTTTGTCTATGGTAAAGATGTCTGTGTAGTGACCAAATAAAACGTTTACTCTAAAACAAGCAGCATCCTTCCTAAGGCTCCATCCTTATGCATAATAGACAAACTAAAACTTTTAGCTTCAAAAGAATACCCGTAGCCAATCATTTCCCCCGGGAAGATTTTTTTTTAAATATTGAAGTTGAAAGCATCAATCTGTTGCACTTTGAGAGCAACATGAACAGATCTATGGATACCTCTATCAGCACCCATATGAAACAGAACTGTAAACAGATTTTCTTTTTCTTTATGAATATTTTACAAATCACTCCCCTTTTAAACTGTATTCTTGTTTTACTGCCATATAGTAGGCTATTTCATACCTGTTTTTCATTTATTCTCTTATTGTTTGTATAACTATAATGATCGTATGAAGGTGTGCCGCGGAAATAATCTTTTGAATAATTTGTGACAAAACCGTTCTAAACACTCAGAGAGTCCTTTAGCTCACCTGAGCCCCTCAGTCTGAGAGGACTCGCCGCAGCTTGTTGTGGAAACAGCTCCTTATCCTTATGTCCGTTAGTGCAGCTAGCTAACCAGATGCTAACATCACGGTCCCTGCTCGTGTAACAGTGTAAATAATGAATGTGTGTTTTATTAAATCCTGTTAAACTGGGACTTCAGCCATAGTTTTGTAATTTTATTTTATTTTTGAAAAGCCGCAGCCGGAAGCTAGTGTTGCGCTGAATGTGGTGCATTTTGGGAATCCGTCAGTGTTAGAGGATTCTTAGCTTTGGGTGAGTTGTTGCTCTGTTCACTCAGTTGTAAATATAATAATAATTGTGATCTACTTGTACTATTCTGTGTATAATCTATCTGCATTTATTGGTTATATTTTATGTTTAGCTAAATGTCTTTAGACTCCGTAGTGTATCACTTTTTAAAATAATTTTACAAAAACTGAGAGTGAGCCGTTTTTCAGCTAACTAGTTAGCCGCTAACGTCGTGGAGTACATGTGGCATTTACGTCACTGATGTGAAACTTTCCTTTGTAGAGCAAAATCTCACTATACTGTGGCTAAACTGTGGATCTGTGTGTNCACAGTCACACAGTCCACTGTGATTCAATACTTTCTTCTTTCTTCTTCTTCTGTGTAGAAGTTCAAGATCCGCATCGAGGACCCCCCCCGGCGTAAGCACATGGTGTTCCTGGGCGGCGCGGTGCTCGCCAACATCATGAAGGACAAGGAGTCCTTCTGGCTGAGCAGGGCAGAGTACGAGGAGAAGGGAGTGCAAAAACTGGGAGGGGGGGTCAGATAGAAATACAATGTGTAGCGCAAAGACAACCTCACCCAGATAATCACATTTCAATACCTATTACTCACCTCTCATAGCCTGGCATGCTGGGGGTTAAAGCTGAACTCCATCACTTTCCTGCTAGTGATGGAGCAAGTGACAGCATATTGACAACAAGTTTGAATGTTAATTTTTCAAGCCTTTTGTGAGTTTTCCTCAATTTGGATTTACATTAAATAGACTGTACTTTTACTTGATTTAGCTCAAACATATTTCAAAGATTAATTAATTAATTTAGTGTTAATCCCTGTGCAGGTAAACATTTGATTGTTTACTCACATTATCATATTGCATTATTTTACCTAAAATACATCAGGGCACATTGAACAGTCTTTTATTAAATAAAATGTATATGCTGTGACTACTGAATCATTTTGTCCTTGTTTCATTGGTCATTGTGTCCGTAAATGTCTCGACAAAATACAAATTATTGTTTACATCTAATGAATAAAATCTAACCCCAAATAGTGCTTTTATAAAATGCTTATAGAAACAATGAAGAAGTATGCTGTGACACTGACTGATATTGAAAATGTGACATTCAAATTACATTTCAAATGTGTAATAGTCATTCACCTGTAAAACTATACTGTAGTAGTTTTCTATCCCTTTATAATTTATCTAAATATTATAAAAAGAATACAAACGGCCTTGATCTTTCAGTTTTTTTTGTATTTCGGCCATATAATGTATTAAGTCAGATTTGTGAGGGGTTTGCTTTTGAATACATTTGATCAAAGATTACATTTTGTTTTTAGACTAGCTGAAATAGGGATAAAAAATACCAAATCCCTTAGGATGTCAACATTAGAAACCACAAATCTTGAATACATATTTGACATGTTATTTATAAGTAGGAGTAAAATGTGTTGGTATTTGCTGCCCTCTGATGGTAGAGTTTGATAAAACATCCAATAATAGTGATGTGTCGGCTCGCGCCCGCGAACGTGCATGCATGCAGTGACATAATATCCAAGGATTAGAGACTGTTGGATGCTGCTGTTTTGAGCATTGCAATATATTTATTTTCATTATGTAATTTATTTATGATTATTTTTAGGCTCAGCAAAGATTTGTTGTCAGTTTGTATACTGTATGTGTTGCTATCTCCTTTTTTTTTTTTAGCGTGGTTCTACAATCAGAGAGTTACAAGGGTCTGTAAATGCAATGAAAACAATTGCATTTATATAAAAAATGTACTTTTTACTTTTGAATACTTCAGTAGCCTACAAAGGATGTAGCTATTGAATAATTTAAGTGATATATGTGTACTGTACACATATACATCATTAGTCAAAACAGGGCTACATTTGATTGAATTATTATAATTAAGGTATATTTCGCAGATAAACCTATTAACTCTAAAAACGGCTCTTTTGAACGGCTCTCGCAAAGGAACGGAGCCATAAGATCCGGTTCCCTTCAAAGAGCCATAATTCCCATCACTATCCATTCCAACCCATATAGGCTAGGCAAGGCAAGTTTATTTATATAGAACTTTTCTGTACGCGACAATTCAAAGTGCTTTAAAAAAAAAAAAAATACTTTTTATGAATAAATACAGTAAAAACGATTTAAAAATGGTAAGCGTGCGGACGTGCATGATTTGGGTAGTTTGTTCCAGAGTGTCGGGGCATAGCTAAATGCTGCCTCTCCATGTTTTGTTGTTACCCTCGGAACCGATAGCAGACCCGTCCCAGAAGACCTGAGGCACCTTGATCGCTCGTAATTGTGTAGGAGTTCAACAATATACTTTGGTCCTAAACCTTGTAATTATTTAAAAACTAGCAATAGTAGGCTACTTTAAAAACAAATAATATGGCCGACTGGAAGCCAATGTAAAGATTTCAGAACCGGACTGATGTGATCATACCTACAAACCCTACCGATTTGGGCGGCAGTCTACCGCTTTTTACATGTTTCTACCGCCTACCGACTTAGCTGACTTTCCCTACCGATTTTCAATCTTCCCAAACTATAACAAATAAAAATGACACTACATAGACACTGGACTCGACTTTTGGCGGACACCGTTTGCAGCGTGTCTGTGATCCCATCATACATTACATTACATTGCATTTTTTTTTCTTCATACAAACAGTCCTCTGTGTTTCTGTCTCACAAATGAGTGTTAGGGGAACAGAGGCGAGACATTTGATTCCTGCAGGGTTTCCCTGTTAATATCAGTGTCTCGAAAACACATGTTGGCGACTGAAAGACATCCGTCAGTGGCGGCTGGTGGAAATTATTTTAGGTGGGGCTATTGTAATGGTGAATAAATCACGCGGGGAACATTTTGAGAAATGACCCCTTTTATTACTTCTGGTGATGTTAGAGATATGAGAAGACTGATCAATACCTCCATAATCTTCAGTGTGGTTAGCTATGAATCTTCCAAAACTTCCAAATACCTTGTCCTGGACATAGTTTCTACAGTAAACTGTGCAACAGTACAGTAGGCCCACACAAACTGCAGAACACTGGTTCTTTGGGAACACTCAAATGCAGTGGTGAGCCGTGACTTTTATACCTAGGNACACAATCAAAATACCCGAAAGACATTCTATCATTATTTGAACTTACAGCAAGTATAGTACATTGCCCTTCTTTGAGGTCGATTGACTAGAAACTTAAAAAAAAAATTTTGGTGTTGCGATTGTGACTCGGAGTTTTAATTCCGGAACTCCGCTTTTTTTTGCTGTACCGCGCAACGTGTCTTTTGTTCCATATTGTAGAATAATGAATAGCATTCTGATGTGTAGGTTGGGTAGCTAATCGTAGCAAACTCTTCTGTTTTTTAGCCGATCCATATAATATAAATAGTGAGTTACTATACTGAGCGTTTGAATAAACCTGTTTCTTTGTCCTGTTAGTTTTGTGCACCGCGATCCATCGTTTTTTACCTTACAGAACGGAGGACAACAACCAGAACTTAGTTTTGGCTAACACAAAGTTACCTGTAATTTGGCCTATTTTCTTTTGCGACGGACTTCCCAATTAGTATCAATGTAGGTTACACTAAAGACTACTAGGTATTCGTTATTTGGAACATATGAAAGGCAAAAGGTAAAAGTCTAAAGTCTCCCACTCTGTCCAAAGCTAAACCCCTTTTGACGTACGTGCTTCGGGGGTGAAAAAATAACAGTTGCTACCAAACATACCCTTAAGCGAGCGGGAAACTTAAGATAACCAAGATGGCAATTCTTTTTCTACGCTGGTTAGTATGTTTTCAGCTGGTTACCCAAGGTCTCTTTGCCGTTTTTGGGAGGGTAAAGGTTTGGTTTAGTGGGGTCTCAACAATTAAAAAAAACAAACTGAACTTTGGAGAGATTTTTCCAGCCCTTTATAGTGTAACAAAGACATAGTTAGAACTATTCCCATGAATTAATATACAACAATGAAACGCTAAGGATTTCGAAAATCAGATGACATGTGGGAGTAGGTTCCCTACAAAAGTGATATTTCATGTTTTTATTTATAAAACCTCCCTTGTGACTATTTAATGTCAAAAAAATGCTACAAGTTAACTTTATAAAGAAATTTTATTTTTTTGTAGTATAATGAACTAAGAACTGAACAGGTGTAGGTTGAGTGTCCCAAACAGTAATGAAACTCTTTTTTTTATAAGTAAAAGGGAAATCCTTTACATTTATACATTTAGCGGACTTTTTTCTTGTCGAATCCCTGGACTGTTCCAATTTTGTTTACATACTCTCACTTCCAACCGTTTCTCCCGGAGTCATTTTCTATGTGTTTTTTGGCTCAAATTAATATATTTTATAAATCGTCTCTGTACTGTAGATCTCACTATGTATGCGCTCAACTTTATTACTACGTGGCGGTGGTGTATAGCCGAATCACAGCCCCACCCTCACTCATGTCTCATTTTGTGGACTGGCCATTGGGAATACTGGGAGATTTCCTGGTGGGCTGGGGCTGTGCGTGGGCCGGAGAGCCGCTATTATTGCCGCGCGGATTTGAAAAAAATTCAATATGCCACGCATTAAGTGGGCCTGTTTGTCAATTAAACCCCGGCCCACTTTTTCCCCCCAGTCCGCCACTGGTTGGGAGGGGGGCCCATGAGCACTCAGTGCCCAGGGGCCCCTGGAGGTACTTATCCGGCCTTGCCTCTGACAATAAATCCTGAGTAGTTACCAAAAAAAACCCTGCTCTGAAGGTTATTTTCATTTTTCCAAATCCTGCACTCAGCTTTGCTTTCTCCAATATCATTGAAATGCAGCCAGATGCTGCTTCCTTTTTCAGTTGTCGCTCATTGCTTGACTTTTTCCAACGCGCTTGCATTTAAATCCGGCTCCACATCTCCCCATCGCTCTGTGTAGCTGGCGTATACCACTACACTTGCTGTCTTTGTAGCGTCTGCCCCCAACTCTTCTTTCACATAATGGTAAGATCCTTGCATATGATTGGCCGCATGGTGGCCCAGCTAAATAAAGTCCCGCCCCTCCCTGCATGGATAGAGATGGCAAATCGGAATCCTTTTACGGACTCAAGGGGTGTTTCTCAATGTCAAGGAAGGATGCTCCAGAGCCACTATTTCAAGGATGCTACGTCATCGAGTCCTGCCGAATGACTGTTCCAATGTCCAGGCTCCTTGGAATTTTACCGAGCCCGGCGTCCTTCGTGGTGAGAAATGTCGAGGCTGCACATGTGTATCCTCTGCGGTCTTAAAATCCCCACAATGCTTTGCGCACAGACCAATTTCCCAAAATCTGTGGCGGAATATGTAAGGCGGGGCCTCTCATGTGACGCACACTTGCTCGGCTGTTCCACTCTTCGTTTTCCGAATGCCAGTAAGGATTCTTGCTTAGCTTCTGAAGGAAGTGACTCGGAAGACATGTGCTACCAAGCAAGCATCCTCGCGATTGAGAAACTGCCTTCGTTTCCCGAATGCCAGGAAAGATTCTCGCTTAGCTTCTGAAGGAAGTGACTCCGAAGACATGTGCTACCAAGCAAGCATCCTCGCGATTGAGAAACGGCCTGTGTGTGTGTGAGGCACGAGCGCATTTTGTGAGTGCGCGAGCAGTAACGTGGAATGTTGTTGTTAGCATCTGGTTAGCTAGCTATGCTAACGGATATACAAAAGAGCTGTTTCTACACCAAGGTGGAAGAGAGTCATCTCCTGTCAGACTGAGAGGATCTTATAACGTCAGCTCCGTGAGGTAAAGGACTTTCTCAGTGTTTAGAAAGTTAACTTTAGTGTAGGTTATCTCAGTGGGTTTCAAACGGTTTGGTCACCATTTATGTAAACAAGTATTTGCGAGGAACACCTTTATATGATCATTATAGTTATTAAAGAATAAGAGAATAAATGAAAAACGGGTATGAAATACTATAGGACAGTAGCACAA